ACAAAAAAAAAATTAAATTTAAGAATTTAAAAAACTCATGAAATCTATACTAATCTAAAAGCATCTAAAAATTTATATTTCTACTTTAATATTCATACATATATGTCTTTGTTTAACTGTATTAATTTTTATTATTTATTTATTTTTATTTTAATCTTCAAAATATAATAAATATATATTTGTTTTATTTAATATATGGAAAGTGAAACTTTATATATATTCGCACGTTTATTAAAATTCAAATTATTATTTAAACTACATGAAACTGTAACAAAAAAATCGGAAATTCGACCAAAGGTAAGTCCCCTTAAAGATTAATCCATCTGCTTTATCTCAATTTTATGAGTTCTGTATGAAATATAAACTTACCTAATTTATTTGCCGACATTTCCATACGTTAGATCTGGACAAAATGTAGAGAAACTCACGCAACAAATCTATCTTTTTGAATTAAAATATCAAGCTGTAAATATCTCTTATGAATTCACGCACGCCTGATTCATAAAGGCAATGAACAGCAATGAAGATGTGCTACGAAAAAACATATATTATATATCGGAAAGATACAATGCGTAAACAGATCTCCAGCAGCGACCACGTCAACACGAGATAACGTCTCATATGACGTCTAAACATCTCGCAATAATGGTAAAGAGACGACCGGTCAAATGTCATCTTATTGTATTCAGATAATAAGCATAATATATTTAATAAAATACACGCTCGTTAATGCAAAATCGTTCTCTTAATTTAAGATATTTTTGTAAATAAAGATATATAAAAAGTCGATTTTTGTTTTTATTAAAATAAGAGGCGAATAATATAGATGGATTTATAATCCTTCTATTTTTAGGGACGATTGAAAAGAACAATTAATGTAATCATGGTAATTAGTGTATTTTCAAGAGACTGATTAAGATATTGAAAAATTCTTTCCATATTTTGCCCCCCGTGAACAAAAAGCTTTATAAATATCCTAAAGACGTTTCTCTCTTCCTTTCTCTCATTGAAGAAAAAAAGAAAACTTCCAGTTTGGAACATTGCTCATGCTATATCATATAATACGCCGACTTAACTTTTCAACTCAATATTTTATCCAATATATAATATTAAAAAAGAATGGTAAGGATTTTTATATTATTATCTTAAATTACGTAGACGTATATATGGGGATATATTTTATAATATAAATTTGTACACATTTTTAAAAATTTACATCTCATTCTAGAATGTTCAGACATTCTATACACACACGTTAATGTTTCGTTCCTTAAAAAGAACTCATGGCATGTTTTTATCAAATCAAAATAATTTACTATCAAATGTATTCGGTTTTGTATCTTTTATAATTGCATAATGTTTACAGCTCAACTATTTGAATAAGTTACTTCCTAATCTAACTTCGTACTAATCTCATTTGTGGAAAAATCTTTAATTTTAATTGTAATATTTATTGTCAGACAGCAAATGAAAAAGACTATAAAAAGCAAAAGGCTGTTATGGACCAGTATTAAGCCCATATCAGACTATGCATTGAGATTGAAATTTAACCAATCAGGACAAGGAAATTTAAGTTCCTTTTATCCTGATTGGTCATATTTCAATCTTCAATACGTAGTCTGATACGGGCTTTATGCCCGTATCAGACTACGCATTGAAGATTGAGATTCAAGATTCAAGATTGAAATTTGACAAATCAGAATAAAGAAATTTTAGTCCTTTTTGTTCTGATTAGTTAAATTCCAATCTTTAATCTTCAATCTTCAATTTTCAATGCGTAGTCTGATACGGGCTTTAGACCATATTTATCTTTCTCTTTCCGATGTGGAGAGTTTAGCTATAAAGAACAGACCCAATCATGGCTACCAAGATATACCCAAATAAGTGAGGGATTTTAGAAAGTCACTAGATTTTTGTCACACGGTAATTGAGCGTTGAGCAGACACAGAGCAGAGATTGGTCGCGTTCAGCAGAGAAAACCGCTTAGTAGCAATCGAATGTGATTGGTTCTTACTTTTAGAACCAACGAATCAACGTCAAGTGTTGACAAGACGATAACTGAGCGCTTTCTCTGCTGAACGCGGCCATTTACATCGGATAATACCAAAGAATGGCCGATCCAACATTACAAACTTTTTGTTGTCATTATACAAACCGAACAGACAAGGCTATAGCGATAATGCAAGAATTTAATACTGATGCGTACAATACGGTGTGCATGATATCATCGACAATGGGTATGATAGGTGCGATTTATCAGGTAAATTTATAGGAACTGTAAGAGAAGTTACACATTTCACCGGTTTTTATTTTATAAAATTTTTACACTAATTATAATATT